TGTGTGTGTCATTTTTTTGGTTCCCACAAAGGGAAATTCAGTTTCATAAAAATCTGTAATTCCATAAGTCTTCTATCTTGTTTAATCAGGGTTACAGTTGTCTTAGTTGTGGTAAAGGATTTGCCCGTAAGAATGAATGGAGAGTCCCCACAAAGGTATGAATATAAGTGTGTGTGTGTGTTTTTTATTTTTTTTTGGCGCACGCTGCCGCTGACCCCCACCCTGTCGTGTGTGCCCCCCCCCCGCTGACCCCTGCCATGTTTCCTTCAGATGATCAGTGCTGAGGCTCCGGTTCTGTTTGCCAAAGCCGCCCAGATCTTCATCACAGAGCTCACCCTGCGGGCCTGGATCCACACCGAGGATAACAAGCGGCGCACCTTGCAGGTGAGCGACCCACCGCCCCCCCCCAGGTCACTCCGTGCGGATGCATCTCCTGCTCCTAGCCGGATCTCCCAGCAGCACCACTGTGACCCACTTTCCCCAATGTCATTTTGCCTTCGCTCACACTGCAGCTGTGCAGTGACATGGATCCCGAAACGGGCTGGCGATGTGCACACTGCTTATTCCAAGGGAAGGTCCTCTCTGCCCTGCCTGCCACTGCTGCAAAGTCTAGCATGGAGGCTCGGACTTATACAGCCGCACATAGCTATCAATAATGTATTTATTTTGTTCTTTTGATAGAGAGCGTTGGTAAATCCTCTGAGCGCTCTGTTTCCAGAGGAGCGCCGTCACGGGATGTCACCGTTACTATTATCTGCCTCGGGAACTCTTTTGTGGAACGTCGTGCTCGGAAAATTCAGTCTGATTCCGGGACGCATGTAGATGCGTAGATTCCTGAACACTCTCGTCAAATCTCATATCGCCCGTGCCGCCTTTGCTGAGGACGTGTTTGCCTGCCGTCGCCCTGTCAGAGATACTGTAACGTGCTCTTGAATCCCGATACGCCGCCGAGTCGCGCGCCTCTTAAATCATTTAATGTTTAATGCTGAATGATGATCAGAGAGCAAAGGAAACGTCTACTTCAGATGAGCGGATCTCAGACTAAAGCTGTGAGCTTTCTATAAGTTAAACGTCTCTGTGGCTCCTGTTTACTTTCGGATTTCATTTTGCTAAACAGAAGAGACTCTCTCTCTCTGTGTGTTTGAGCTTCTCGTATGTCTGCGGCTGTTACTGTGATAACGAATGAGCTAATTAGGAATCCCAGTTTAACTGCAATGGGAGCACAGGCGGTATGATCTTGCTGCAGGCTCCCATTTCGGCCTGTGACATCCCTGTGTGTGGAGCGCTACGGGAATGCTCCCCGCCCAGCCGCGCTGTCCATCGCTCTCATCCCCAGCGTGTGAATCGAGCGGCGTGAGCCCCGCTCCCGCACACGCGCCTGTCCGGATCGCACCTGCCAGCCAGCGCCTATTGTGAAGGCCGCACGGCAGCCGGTGTCGTCACGACAACGCTCATCAATAGAGCAGCTGTGGACGTGACCCCTCAGCCACAAATATTAATCACAGTGCCAAAAATAGGCATTACATGGAAAGGGGGTGGGGGTAACTTGAGTCAATATCCTGTGGAAAATGCCATCCAGATGGGGGTGGGCAGTGGAAAAGGTGGAGGGCAGGAATAGGGAAGGAGGTGCTATTTTGGCCTGATGATGGCAATGTCGGGCTGGTTCAAAACAAAAAATCAGGGAGCCTGATTTCTCCGATGATCCCCCCCCTCGCTCCCCGGTTAATGTACAAAATGTTATGCAGAGTTCCACAACAAAATAAGTGCGGACAAGAACTGGAAATGGCCTCTCTCTCTGTCTCTCTCTCCATACATATACACACACACATATATTTAACGAACCCTGTCTGCTGAGAAACGGGCACAGAAAGTATGTGTACTCAGCAGAAAAAATACAGTGGGTTAATGATTACAGTCTGATGCGAAGCACAGGGGCCAGCAGAGGACCTTAGTGGGGCTTTTGTCTGACCTAAAGTAATTTAAACAATGCAGCAGAACACAAAGGAGGTATCTCTGCTCACTGTAACTGTCCCCTGCCACGCGCTTTTATCCTACATCCAGTTACAGTTAGCTACCCAGTGGGTTACAGTGTGAGTACCTCTCGGATGGGGGGGGGGGGGGCTCGTTGGCTGTATCTGATTGGCTATACCTCATCTTCTCCCCTCCTGTAGAGGAACGACATCGCCATGGCCATCACCAAATTCGACCAGTTCGACTTCCTGATCGACATCGTCCCCCGGGATGAACTGAAGCCCCCGAAACGGCAGGTAGGTCTTGCATCAGGTCCTCGAACTTAGTGCATGTCTCCCGGAAGTGTGAAAGGCCAGTCCAGCTGACCTTTTGCAGTACCTGCACTGGGAGCTCGGGGGCGCTGTAAACATCCTTGACTGGAAGCTGAACGATAGCTGCCAGAGCTTTCAGTCGGATGTTTGCAGCGTCCGGCTCCCCATAACGACCACTGCGTGACTGTGACCGTAACTGTGACCATGACTGTAGCAGTGCTGTAGTAAGTAATTTTACGCCAATGGGATAATGATGTGAGAGACCCCGCTGGTCACTTGTGACCCCAGGCAGGCTGTAAGGATGGAGGTTAGGGGTACCGAAGGAGCCGAAGAGCATGACGCCCCCAGGCTGTGGCGTTGCCGGTGCGCTCAGGCGTGTAAACATCCTACACTCTCAGCTGTGGCATGGCGGAGCTGGGAGAGGGCTGTTTACGCTCCTTGCCGCAGTGACCCTGCTCGCCGTGACCCAGCACGCCGCTGCTGGCAGTTCTTTTCCGTGTCGGTGCTTTCCATCATTGGCGTAGGACACTTTCGCCTTCTGGGTATTCCGAGCACCCGTTGCCGGTTCTGTCACGTGAGCCGTAGGGAACTCGCGATCTGCGAGCGCCTGTTTGCGTGAGGGTCTTGCCTCCTGAACCATACCCCCGGCGGCCATCGCAGGAGCTTCATAGGACTCCCGACATTACTTATTTATCCGTTGCTTCCCTATAGAATTTCCGAGCTGGAATAATTCATGTGGTTATAATGGACTGATCACCTTTTACCTTCTCTCTGTCTGCCTGCTTGCTCCTCCTCTGCTCCTGGTCCGCGCGTCCCCCCCGCAGGAGGAGGTGCGCCAGTCGGTGGCCCCCGCCGAGCCGGTGCAGTACTACTTCACGCTGGCCCAGCAGCCGGGCGCCGTGCAGGTGCAGAGCCAACAGCAAGGCCAGACGGCCACGCCCACCGCCACCACACTGCAGCCCGGCCAGATCATCATCGCCCAGCCGCCGCAAGGACAGGTAGTGCCTGCCCGTATCCGCGTGTGCGCTGTGCCACGCATGCACGAAAACACACGTGTGCGCATTAGCACACCGACCTCCAAAACCACAGCTCTCAACATGTGTGGTTCCGGCATGTTCCGCCTACCCTTCGCAGTCTCACAGGCTTACAGACACGACATTATAAATTAACCCCCTCCCCACCTCGCTCTGCCATCGTTCTCTGTAACTGCTCCATTGTAAGGTCTTGTCAGACATGCCCTTCGTCTCCGTATGCGACCAAGTTTGTCTGTCTCTCTCTATCTCTCCCTCATACTCTCACTCTTGCTCTGCTGGTTGGTGTTCAGTACACACAAAACACACCACCTGTGCTGGATTGTACTCAGTACTTGACAGCAGTGTGTACTGGTTGGTGTACTGTACACACAGCAGTGTCTGTCTGTGCTGGATTGTATTCAGTACTTGACAGCAGTGTGTACTGGTTGG